CTGCTACATTTCAACACTTCATCTATTATCCCTTTTCCAAGATGCAACCACTTCATCATCTTGGCATTTATTGTAAGTCTAAGTTGAGTACACCAATTTTCCAAGGTAGCAAAGAGTATCCTCATCCTCATTAATTCCAGTGTGACTGCCAGATGCATGATGTCACCTGCATCAGCTAAGGAGCTTAACTCTAGATCATCCAATGTCATGGCCTCCAACTAGTCTAACATTCTTAATGTCTGGCTTAAGAACATGATAAAAAGCGGTGGTGAGTCCATGTCCTCAAACTTTGTCTTGAACCAGTTGCTACATTTTCCACCAATTCTTACAGTGCTGCAGGAGTCATTGCAGTTATCTTATCTGGAACTCCATATGCTTTTGCTACTTTCCATAAAGGTTCCTGCCAAACCAAGTCAACTGTCTTTATGAAGTCAATGAAAACAGCCAACATCTTTGTCATAAATATAAAGGGAAGGGTAACCACCTTTCTGTATACAGTGCTATAAAATCCCTCCTGGTCAGAGGCAAAACCCTTTCACCTGTAAAGGGTTAAGAAGCTAAGGTAACTTCGCTGGCACCTGACCCAAAATGACCAATGAGGGGACAAGATTCTTTCAAATCTGGAGGGGGTGGGGACGGAACAAAGCATTCTGTCTATCTGTGTGATGTTTTTGCCGGGAACAGATCGGGAATGCAGCCTTCCAACTCCTGTTAAGTTAGTAAGTAATCTAGCTAGCAAATTCATTCGATTTTCTTTGTTTAATGGCTGGTAAAATAAGCTGTGCTGGAGGGAATGTATATTCCTGTTTTTGTGTCTTTTTGTAACCTAAGGTTTTGCCTAGAGGGATTCTCTATCTTTTGAATCTGATTACCCTGTAAGGTATTTACCATCCTGATTTTACAGAGGTGATTCTTTTACCTTTTCTTTAATTAAAATTCTTCTTTTAATAACCTGATTGATTTTTCATTGTTCTTAACATCCAAGGGTTTGGGTCTGTGTTCACCTGTACCAATTGGTGAGGATTATTCTTAAGTCTTCCCCAGGAAAGGGGGTGTAGGGCTTGGGGGAGATATTTTGGGGGAAGACGTCTCCAAGTGGTCTCTTTCCCTCATGTTCTTTGTTTAAAACGCTTGGTGGTGGCAGCATACTGTTCAAGGACAAGGCAAAGTTTGTACCTTGGGGAAGTTTTTAACCTAAGCTGGTAAGAATAAGCTTGGGGGGTCTTTCATGCAGGTCCCCACATCTGTACCCTAGAGTTCAGATTGGGGAAGGAACCTTGACAGTCTTTAATCCCCATTCTGACTTTTTTTTCCCCTCACCTGTCAGAGCATGAATATCTGATCAGTACAACTTTGCCCTTGTCTGAAGCTGCCTACTACTGCCTCTAAACTGGCCTTAATTAGTTGACAGTTTGTTTGTTGACATGATTTTTCGTGGTACTGCTGATAAGCTTATACCTCTAACTATTCAGCTGGGCAGGATGTCCTGTGAAGCGTTCATGTTTAGCTATTCCACCTGGAAGCAGGCAGGGCACACCCTGACTGTTTTGTAGAAGCAATGCACACATTGCTCTATCCAAGGACAAGGGCTAGATATGAACCATGAGAACTTGATTGCTTGGACAGCAACTGTGGGAGGCTTTCTTAGCCTGGGCTCAAGGCCTGAGAACCAGGATTGTAGTAGATAAAGGATGGTAACTAAGTATATTAATCAACGTCATACATTCCTTTGGGTAGCAGTGTGTAATGCTTAGGGGGAGAAATATAATAAAAGGAGAAGGTGGAAGGCGGGGGGGCAGAACAGCCCATCTCCGCTGACCAGCCTGTTTGCTTGCATAAAGCTGTGTTCTGTCTCATCACTGAACCGCCACAGTCCTGTCTTCAAGATTGGTACAATATTGTCTTTGGCAAGTCAGCTGATACCTTCTTATATATTTTTTTCTCATACTTGCTGACTTTTAGCAGCTTAGCTGGTATATTGTCCATTCCTGCAGCTTTTCCATTTTTAACTGTTTTATTTATATATATATATATATATATATATATACACTTTTCAGTAAACATGTCATATTTTATAGTAATGTGTGTCTAGGTGTACATGCGTGTATATATGTGGCATTAGTATTTTTATAACTTTGGGGTTCTCTGATTTAATAGTAGAACCCACCGTTGAGGATTGCCCACACCCATTGTCTGCTGTGCCATGCCTAGATCATCCTTCAGGCTATATGACTCCCTCTTGAGCCATCACTCCCTCCCCTAACTCAGCCAGAGAGGATGCCTGCAGAGTGACACGTGGTATTCCTTACTCCCATGGTCGGTGCTCCAACCCATGCCAGACATTGCACTAACCACAGTGCCCTTGGACCAGCTCCCTGATTACTCATTGATTTGGCTTTAGAAAAAACTTAGTCTGAAGATCACTAGGCAGTCTTACCTTCTGCCCTTTTCACACCGAGGCCCATTGGAGATGCCCTTTCCAAGAAGCATTCCTGCTGCTGGGGAACTCTTGTGGACGTGCCCCTGGGTGAAGTGCTGCAGACCAGAAACCCTGGGAATTGTTCAGTACATACAGGCTGTATGATTGTGTTGCCCTTCTTCCTTTGCTCGTTTGTCCCCCTGGTTTACGCAAATAAAAAGCAAAAGACATAGAACAGAATGAATGTTTGACGGGAAGGACACCATCCGTTAAGTAAAAGATTATTATTTACCTGGGCTGCAACCCAGATTGAATCAGAGCTTGCTACTGGAGTCTTTACGCAGCCCCTCGTGTGCTACGCGGTGCACACCACGTTACTATACGAAAAGGGCCCTGGCGTTAGCCGAGCAGGGCTCTGGACACAGGGGTCGCCATGCCACCTGCCCTGCTGTTCCCCTTTGTCTCTCTGCTGTGAAGCACAGCTGTCCCTCCTCTGCTGTTCTCACTGACGTCTCGGTACGTACGGTTACCCTGTGCGTAGCTTGTCCCTGAAGTTCCACAGCTTAAATCCCGCCCTGTGCACTTCCGTGAGGTCAGTGCCACATCCATCATGAACAGTCTCCCGTCCCACTCTGAGGTACGGTGCACTGTAGAGAACGTCTCCTGTAAATTCAGCCAGTAGCACTTTGCGGCTGCTGCCTGCTCTTTCCCTCTCTTTGCTCCGTTCTTTTTAGTACTTCACAAAATATATGGTTAAGCAGGAGCTGGTGCTTCTTATGCACGATTTTTTTCTCTGCATATTCATTACGATGTTGCTCATGACAGAAACCAGTGCTCCAGCCAGAAATCCTCTTGCTATAAAATCATATTGTAATGCATCATTTAACTTCCTGCTGTTTACTTCTCTCTCCTGTTTGCTTTTTGTGCACTGGTATCAGACACACAAAAAATAAAGCCGGGGTTGTGCAATGACTCATCTATTGAAGTCCTGATTGTCGGCTCATTTCACTTCAGTTAGATTAAGGGCTGGTGAGAACACACCTGCTTGTCTTGGCTGAGGAAAGGAGCCAGGTTGTTTCTCCTTAGGGGCCTCCTCTTTTAATGAAAGATTCATACTACTGGGCTCTCAGAGTTCGTTGGGAAATGTAGTCCAAGGCAGCATCTTGTGGACTATAACTTACAGTATCAGAAAATTCGACAGACAAGGTAGGTGAGGTTATATCTTTTATTGGACCAATTTCTGTTGGTGAGAGAGACATGCTTTTGAGCTACACAGGGCTCTTCTTTCGCTCTGTGTGCTTTGAAAGCTTGCCTCTCTCTCACCAACAGAAGTAAGTCCGATAAAAGATATAACCTCACTCACCTTGTCTTTCTAATGTCCTGGGACCAGGACGGCTACAACTGCCCTGCATAGTACCAGAAGAGGTCACTGTTGTACAAGGAACACGTTATTTGAATTGAAAATATGTGGTGTATTCGTCTGTCACAGATATATAGTTACTTGAGCTGAATGAATGACCAGCACTCAGCCAGGGTAAATGAGAGTGAGGGCACTCGTCAAAGAAAGAAGTAAATTACTAAAAACTAAAACTTAATTTAACATTCTCCCCAAGTTGCATGTCTGTAATGATCCCAAACACATTTTCACTTGTGCAAACACTGCAAAGTAAGGCACTGAATACTGCATTTTGCTGGTAACATGCACGGTGCCAGATTCTGTATGGGGACCCCAGGTGATCCTGTTAATCCGTGAGATTCCATAATGGGGATTGGCCATGCACGGGCAGCATGAGGCCTTTTAGAGGTTAGGGAAGCATGTTTTTCTCCAGGACTGAACAAAGATGATTTGTGCTGAGGGTCTGGCCAGTGCTTACTTAGTCCTGGTAGCTCCCCAATGCCTCTGAAACTGACGAATATAACCGTGTTAAGTCCGGTCAGCATTAGGAGCAGTTGAGAGCTCTGGGAGGCATGCCCGAGAATGGTCCCTGTAGCTCTGTGCATAAGGGAACTACACCTGCTGCTACCCCCCTTCCTGGAGTACAGCATGTGGCACACCCTGGAGTACAGATGGGCTGCCATCTTGAATTGACATGGTGGTGGAAAACTCACGGAGCACCAGAGTCTTGTCTACGCTAAGGCTCCCACCAGTGATAGCAGCCGTGGCAATTTTTTGGTGACGTTCCCTAGCGTAGACACAGCCACAGGAAAGAGCGTCCCTCCAGATCCCGGAAAAGGCACATTTTTGTATGTGTCAGTGGACAATGAAAAGGAATTTAGTTTCCGGGCTATAAAGCACTGTTAGTAAAGTCAAAATAAATTATATTTTCAGTTTATACTTTGCCTGTAAATGCAAATCTCACAGTAAGCAGGGAGATTAGGTGCAGAGAAGAACTGCCCTATAGCTGTTCTATTCCCATCAGGGATTTAGGTACATTGTATTGCAAAACACTTTTCACTAGAGTTTCTAAAGCTTATTAACTAAGCTTATCCAAAAATCTGTAGATTGTGACTGCTAAAGCAATGTATGCCAGAGATCTACCTGGTTAAACACACTTTGCCTTTTCTTTTCTCCCCTTCCCAGGAACTTTTACTATATTACTATTCTGCGCGACCCTGTGTCCCGATATTTGAGTGAATGGAGACATGTCCAGAGAGGAGCAACGTGGAAGGCTTCCTTACACGTGTGTGATGGAAGATCTCCAACTACTGAAGAGTTACCCAGTTGTTACACAGGGGACGACTGGTCAGGCTGTTCCCTTAAAGAATTTATGGATTGTCCATACAATCTAGCCAATAATCGGCAGGTCCGCATGCTGTCTGACCTGAGCTTGGTTGGATGTTACAACTTGTCTGTCATGCCAGAGGAGCAAAGAAACAAGGTTCTTCTAGACAGTGCAAAAGAGAACCTGAAACGTATGGCTTTCTTTGGCCTTACGGAGTTTCAAAGGAAGACTCAGTATCTGTTTGAAAAAACTTTTAACATGAACTTCATCGCGCCATTCACACAGTATAATAGCACAAGGGCCTCTAGTGTGGAAATAGATGAGCAGACTCAAAAACACATTGAGACCCTCAATTTTTTAGACATGGAGTTGTATGATTATGCAAAAGACCTTTTTTTGCAAAGGTATCAGTACATGCGACAGAAAGAGCACCAAGAAGCCAGACGGAAGCGCCAAGAGCAACGGAAGATGCTGAAGGCAAAACAAGCCCACAATAAAGAACAGAGTGATGATAATGCAACTACTGATTACATAGGGAATGTGGAACGGTGGCGATAATGGGGACTGAAATCTTTTAAGTTAGACTGGTTGAATACCATAAACACAAACCATACAACTCCTAGACGACAATGTTAGTCCAAACAAATTACACTTCTTAAATGTTTGATGCAAAAGAGGATAAAATGTTGCCTTTGCAGTTGCCTTTGCATTACATGTTGTACTGTACGTGGAAAACGTAACCTTACAGTGTAATTAAATTGTCCTTTTTAGGTTTGTTGGATTATTTATGAAACACAAAAGCCAGGTGGGCTCTCCAGAAATTGTTGCTTGGACACTGAAAAAAAAAATCCTTAAATTAGTTCTGAGTATCAAATGGGGTGCTGGAAATGTGATGCGATGCCCTGTTAAACCTGCCTCGGAAGCAAATTGATTTTCTAGTAATGAGCGTTTAACACACGCACATAATAAAGCATCCTTGCAAAACCTTTCCTCTTGGATTTTTTTTAAATTTTAATTATGTATTTCTAAGGCCCCCAACGGCTTGCGATATTTACCAAATTACAAGACAGTGAAACAAACAATAAAGGTATAGAGGAAAAAATTGACTCATTTTGCATACAATATTGGCTTTAAAAAAATAGAAAAAAGAAAAGGAGTACTTGTGGCACCTTAGAGACTAAGACTTAGAGACTAAGACTTAGAGACTTAGTCTCTAAGGTGCCACAAGTACTCCTTTTCTTTTTGCGAATACAGACTAACACGGCTGTTCCTCTGAAAAAAATAGAAGTAATTTGTCTAGTTATATAAATATTTACTATTTTAAACTTTTTCTACCTACTGCTAAGAGTTTTAAGCTTGGTCTGTTTCACGTTAAAAAAGCAACACTACACTTTTCTGAACTGAACGTCAATGTTAAGGACACTATTTTCAGAATTTTTCAGGGCAGTATAATTTTAAACATTCTGGAAAAATTACGTCACATCTTCATGTTTCATAAAGTCTTCTCAAAATTATACTCTTATAATAGTATCCAGTTTTAACAGCTTTTCTTATACATTGGAATACATGTTGCATTTACCAAATGCTGAATATTTGGTGATTTAAGTAAGACAGGAGAGTCTTTCTAAGAAATTATCTTGTGAATGTTTGTATAGTGTCTGTCTAAAACAAAAAACAAAAAAACCCCATCTCTAGTCCTGGCAACATTTTTCAAATAATTGCTTTGGTTATTCGTGACCAATTGGAGGTGAAGTAGATTTACACTTGAATTGTGACTTGCTTTTGGTAAATCCTTACTGCGGAATGTAAAAATCAGACTCTTTTCTAATGTTTTAGAGCCCTTTTTAGTGCTGACAGATTGTAGACAATTATAAGAGATTGCAACAAATATGAGTAAATAGCCATAGTTATACAGTAAAAGAAGGTTGTCCGGTAAAATGGGATGAGTACTTAACCCAAGAAAGAGTGTTACTGAGGCTCTGGATTTAGAGATCATTCTGAAAGTACTCCTGTCATCCAGTCTCATCTGGAGCAGATCTAGAGGATGCCTTTTGCTGGCAATAGCACATAGATCATTTAACTTGAAAGCAACAGGATGATAACGTGAGGGGTAAGGACAAGAAATGTGATTTGATCGTACAAATCTCTATGCAAAACAACTGTAAAGATTCCAGTTATAAATTAGGCAAGTTTAGAAATTTTATATGTAGCCCACCATGCTCTTAAGCATTGTACTAACTGGCCATTTGAATTTATGTGCTTGTTATATTTTGTGTAGGCTTGTGTTAACTTGACTGACCCCCTTGTTCTTGGTGAGTGCGGGAAGCTATCTGAACATGGCCTTCCTTGTTCTAATATGTATGATGCTTACAATGCTCATTTCCACTATATCCTTTCATCTGTAATGTTAAATGCACAAGTAGGGCCAGGAGACATAGAAATTAGAAGGCTTTAAAACTCACATCTATGGCTTCGTGCCTAAGTTGTCTAAAGGTCCTGTTACATCGGACATTCTGGTGGTGTTGCTGATTGGGAAAACTGGAAAAGAATCAAATAAATTATCTTAGCAATGTGGGAAATAAAATAACTTCATGTGCAGTGCATTCTTTCTAAGAAGTCCATTCGCCAATATGGTGTCTCAACTGTATTTTGGTTTTTATGGGGGAAAACAATCCACTCTTAAAACTGAAAGGCATTGCTGTAAACAGGACTTAAACCCAAGCCACTTGGTGGGCCTGTTGCAGAAGATGCTTTTTGTTTTTATGCTGTGGTGTGCATGGTTTACAAAGACTAGTTGCATTTTCTTTGTGTATACTGTTTATTGTATATAGGGGACATGAATATAAGGATACAAGGTTTTGTCATAAACATATAAATTCTACTGATTTCCACTGTAGACTGCTGTCTTATTGTGTAGATTTACAAACCGATTCACTGACTTTGATTGTGTAATTTAACAATAGAACCAATAAATAAAATTTAATTAAGTCTTTGCTCTTAGTTCATTATTTCTTTATCTGGAAACGCTTGTTGGGAATTGTGCAGTTAAGAGGCAATGCTAAGTTTGACAAGAATGAAGTAGACAGTAAGAGTCAAGCATGTGATGTGAAAGTTATGGCCATCTTGAAATGTATTCCAAACCTAGACCATACTACTTCCTATGGGCAGGGAGGCTTTGAACCATGGTGAAGATTTTTGTCCTGCTTTTCAGAAGCGACTGAGCACCCACCGCTTCTGTTAGCTCCAACACTGCTTTGGCTGCCCGCACTTTTTTTTAACAATATCCACTGTTTTTACTTGGGGGCTAATCCTGCTAGATCCTGAGCCAGTGGTCCACTCCACTGAGTCCATTGGCTTCAGCCCTAGAAACATTTCAGTGATACAGAGAAGGTCTTTATTGTCGTTGGAACTGGGGGACACAAAAGAGATCGGTCAGAATTTTTCAGGCCCTGTGACAAGCAGAGGGAAGTAGGAACATGGTTCAAGATTGGCCAGCCAAACGACTTATTTCTATTTGGGTCAGGGGCTTTGTCACATTCCTAACATGTGCTTATCAAAGCGTCGCGTGGGGTGCTTACAGAAACCAAGAAATCCACAATCCGGCTGCCAGCCAGAAACTACTGGTCCCAGGTCTCTCCAAAACCCTTCAGCCCAGCTCTGCAAATGCAACTAGGTGTCCAATTCTGCTCTGACATATATACCCAATGCAGCCTCCTTGAAGCCAGCATGGTGTGTAAATCAGAGCAGGATGTGGCCCTTGACCTACACAAATTCCTTTGGGGAAAGTCCACTTTCTTCCCAATTCAATGTAAAGGCGAAGAATGGTGTCTTGGGGTCAAGACTAATGCTGGGCGGAGTCTGACGGCTTCGGCTTTACACAGAGGCCTGTCGGTCTGGTGAATAGCCCCAGTGGACCTGTTCATAGATGCCAGTTGTGAAAAATGCTTCCATCCCATACCAAAAAGCAACCCAACAATGAAGTGTGGCACAAAACCAGGCACATTTAAAAAAAAAAAAAAAAAACAACCAAAGAGAAATGTTTTGACAGTTGAATAAAACATCTTCTAGCTCAGAGGAAGAAGGATGTGGTGTGTGTGGATGGAGGAACTTCAGTCTAGAACCCAGAGTTCGGAAGCTCCTTGCCCTCAGATCATCTGATGGCTCAAAGAAAAATGGACACATGTAAAGATGTAACAGGAGAAATCTTCTGAAAACTAATGAGCGGTTTTAAGTTTCCACCAGATTTGGATACAAGCAAAACTGAAGGTGACCAGCTAGCAGGACATCAGCCCAAGGAACAGTCAATGCAGCAATCTGAGAATTCACAGACTGAGATGTAACAGAATTGGAGAAGCAAATTGATTAACACATAAATCCAATACAAATTTTAATTGGTGCTAAGCACTCCTGACAAACAGGCAGTTTCGCTTAGGTGCTTAAATGGGAGACGTGCAATCATGAAAATCTGGCCCCAACATTTTGCGTGTGGACTTTCGAAGGTCCAAATGGAGCAGAACCACTTGACCATGACTGACATGTAAACAGCTAAATTGTAATGTATCAGGAGATCAAAAGCTGCATGCTCAACAGTACACAGCTAGTCAATATCATGGGACTATATTTTCCCAAAGACAAGCTCATAGGAAAACTCCCCAATTCCTTTCTTCATAGATCTGGATTTGAAAGCTTTCCTGTGCATGGGTTACATTGAACTGGCTTCTTATAAACATGAGGATTTGTTTGCAATCCTGTGAGACTTTGAATTTAACTAAAAATAAAGTTTGAAAATTTCAGAACCATAAAATCTGAACAGCCTTTTACAGGGTGTTGTGTTTTCAGCTAATATTTGATGTTTACTAGAGTGCATATTAAAACTATTAACACATTGGTATGTAAGCAATGTGGAAGATTAACTGCTCAATGGATTTCTGTTAATTAGCTTCACAGCCCATTTATTCTGTTGATACTTTTTAATACAGCATCATACATGTTCGATTCCTATGTGCTATTATTAAATAATAATGAACTAATCCATTTTCTTTACTGTATAATTACTTCTTAAATATCCAAATACTATACAAAAATCATTGGTCAGAAACGTGCCTAGGAGCTGATAAATGTCAATGCTATCAGTGATCCCATTAATCACATTAACGAGGGAAGCATCAGGCAGACTGACACACGCCCTCCTTTTAAATTTTGGTAGAAACATAAAACAATTGAGGAAATCCTTCAAGCTGATGGAAAATTAACCCTAATTTGTGGACCCAGGCCGTTGATCGGTGTTGAGCATTTGCAGCAAAGTGTGACGGAGGGAGGCCCAAAGGAGAGCAGGTCCTTAGAGAACAGTCTTTCTACAGTGAAAATATTTCTCAGGCTGTTTATATATTATTAAATTTTTCAGATTAAAAATACCTCTGTCACCAAGGTGATGAAATGGAGCTGGGCATGTCCCTCACAAATAGGCTCATTCCGACTAGCCCACTGTGGGCTTGCTTGTCCTTTCATACCATTCATATGTTGGTGCAGCTCACCTGGCTTCAGTGGAGTCACTCCTGATCTAACCCCATGCGGGAGAGGAGGCTCAGGCCCTAAATTGTGACGGTAGGTTCCATCCACAAGAGATGCCTTCAGTTTGCTTCTCCTCTTCTTCCTCCAGACCCATGTTAGTTTAAAGCTAGCTCTGGTTTCATCTGCATCTGGGGCTGCGTGCAATTGGTCACAGCCCCAAGTGACTCGCTGTCAGCAATGACCAAGGCAGCACAGAAGGCAAACACCAGGGTTGCTTTGGAGGGTCACCTTGGTCCTGGTACATGAGCATCCCCTGAGGACCAGCCATTCCTTAGACATCTGATTCTTCTTGGCTGAGATGAAAGCAGCCCCTTTGCATCTTTAGGCATGGCCTCCCATCTGCATGCTGGTGCTGATGTGGGAGGATGGGAATGGGGAGAGAACTGGCCTGCAAATACCCTTCCTTCTATTAGCTCCCTGCACCAAAGGGTAGAGGAGCACTAGGCTGGGACTCAGGAGACCAGGCTCAGCCACTGACCTGCTGGGTGACCTTGGGCAAGTCGCTTCACCTCTCTTTGCCTCAGTTTCCCTCCCTGTACAATGGACCCTCCTTTGTAAAGCTCTTTGAAGGCTATGGATGGAACATACTAGGCATTAGACACTCACTAGGAGATGAGGCACTGGGGATCCTCTACCTGTAGAGCAGAATGGTAGTGATGTGAGGAGTGGGTGTCACCTACCACCATCTGTCACATCACCCACCCATACCCTCTCTCCCCCATGCCCCACCCAGGGCCTACCTCACTTGCTCTTAGGTTTTGACTACACACCAAAACACGGCTGCCAAAGGCTCAATGGAGAGAGAATGAGTAGGTGAGCAAACGAAGGGGAAGCAGAAAGAGGGAGGGAGAGGACAGGATTGTGGGGGTTCACCAGTGTGTTTGAGGGGAGCTGTCTCACCCCCAGGTGACCAGCACCTGCCATCTCAGCTTCACGATGGGGAACTGCCCTCTAAGCCTCAGCTAAGAGGTTTCACCACATTCACCGACGGCCTCCTATCTTCCCTGCCCGCTCTTGTGCCCTGACAGTCTGATGTGGTGACAAGGAAAACATAAAAACCCAAGGATAAAAATCATTAAAAAACAAGAAGTTGAGCCCCTGAGGCTTTTCTGAGTTCCCTTCCTCGCAGGTATGCTGCCATCTCAGTGACAATGACTCCTCAGGTCAAAGCCCTGAGCCACAACAGAGAGATCTGCATAGAACCGGAGCTTTGCTGACTAGATCTGGGCTGAGTAAATGCCCCAAATCCTGTCCCAGAATGAAAACCCCGGGATGGGTCCCCTAGAGGAATTCTTGCCTTGAGCTGTTCCAAGGCCCTGGTCAGGCAGCTAGTGGGGCCAGACACAACATTTCCCACATCCCTTGCTCTGCTGTCCTGCCTTTGTTCTTGTCTTCTGCCCAAGGCTCAAATTTCTGTCTGGGAATCTCGTTGCGCTGTTGCCCTTAGCAGCACCATTGCACATTTCCCCCAGGGCCGGGAAAGCTGGTGAAACGCAAACAACTGCAGTTTTCTCAGGGCAGGAGCCTTTTTTCATTCTGAAATTGAGTAATTGCACAATATTACTTAAAATACAATGTTAGCGACGCGGCGGGCACGGCCTCTAAGTTCCAGTCTAAGGCTCAGGGGCAGAGCCCGCTCATTACTTGCTGGGTGGGCTCATGAGGACTTAAACAGAGCCCCCCCATGCAGGCATGGGGATCTGGCCACACCAAATAACTATTTGCAGGAGCACGGCCTAGATGTGAGTTGTTCAATTGACAGCACTGTTGTCGTCCTTGAACGCTGGGACAAGAGCTAGGGACCGAGTTGTTTTTCTCCGATGGCTAAGGCTATACAGTGCTATAGAATTATGTGAGGGGTCATGAGGAGGGAAAGGCCGGATTGGCTTTAAGCTGAGCTGCAAAAGAGAAATACCAGGCTCTTCCTTTTCCTGCTTCTGGCTGATCTTTAGAGACAAGATTAACAGTTGGGACTTCAGTTTTTCTTTCAAACTTCAATGGATCTTATTGGGGCCTTTTCTCTTTTAGCGCGACGTTCCTTTGTTAATATAGATTTTATGACCTGTTTTCCACTTCAGTGCCGCCAGTCTGTTGAGTCTATGCACTGTTGCCCACATCCAAGATAGCTGCCAACACATTTCTTGTTTACTTTTTTCTTTTGCCCTTGACAAAGATGGCCACTGCAGTTTCAGGCTCTCAGCATGTAGCTTTATAAGAGAAAAGGGGTCAGGGGCAGTGGGGGGGGAGGGGTCTCCTCACTGTGTCTTTCTCAACAGAGGGAGGTGGCTTGTTCTTTCTGCTGCACTGCTGTCTGATGGGAGATTGTGGCCCAGCTTCCTGACAGATTTCTTCTTGTTTGCTTTGATGTTTTACCTTCCTTCTGTATCGTCTGTTTTCTTTTTCTCGGCACTGATTCAGGATCCTTGCAGCCAGCTGTAGCTTCTCCTGGAAGAACCCCAGTTACATGCACAGGTACAGAAACGATGCTTTTTTATTCGCAGAGCGCCTGCAGGATACTAACAGCCTAGCTCCCAGCAGGGCTGGGAAGCTCAGGTTACAATGCGGGGACACGTCATACCTGCTGCCAGTGCCCTCTCCAGAGGGCGAGGCTGAGCCTGAAGAATGTCCTGCCGCTAATCCTTATCTAGGGAGGGGGTAATATTTGCCAGGTGAGCTCTGGCCTCCTATAGTAAATCTCTACTGGTACTCCCCTACTTTCATGTGAAACACAGGTTTAGCACCCTCAAAGTGGACTTTACACGGGTAACTTACACCAGGGGTCAGTTTAGCCCATCAGTTTAAACCAATACATGGTAAATAAGTAATAATAATAATAATAAACCCTAATTACTGAGAAGCAAAACATCTCAATTAGTAAGCATGAAATTCAATCAGGATTTCCTAAGGCAATCTGCCTGTTCCTGCAGCCTCATCATGGAAGTGGCTAATTTCATTTAGTCTGTTTCTTGATGGTCTTCAGCCCTACTACTGTGATGCTAATATTGTCCTGTTGTATTATCTCTAGAGAATGAGTGGCCAATTTGAGCCCCTTAATATAATTTGGCCCCTAAGTTTCAAGGGGATCTATTCACCAGATTACACCGTCTCTTCTCGGAAGTTGGGTGATGAAGTCTGGAAAGCCGTGAACATGTTATGTCGGACAGGTAAGGCATTAATGATATAGCTCTTTATATTTGAAAACAAAAACCAAAATGCTGACGCAAACTATGCAAAGCAAAGACAGGGTTCCTAACAAGAGCTGAATGTTCAGATACACAAAAAATGTGAGTTCAGTTGGTGATAGATACTGCAATCACATGCAATCTCTTTGGGGGCCATACTGTATTAAATCTATAAATGATTTTGTTCCACTCCATGGGGGTAGGGGGAGGGAAGGGAACTACTGCTCATCCAAGAACTCAAAACAGTGAGAGGTGATTGAGGTGAATCACTGAGACTAAACAGGAGTTGTTTGGATATACTGGTTCAAGCTGGGTTTTCCAGAGACAGGGAGTTAAAGAAAGGGCTTTTGGAATAAAAGGATGAACTTGAATTGACTCAGGGCCATCTTTCTGATCCAGAAAATAGACAAGATCTTCTTGTCCGGGGGGGGGGGGGTCGGGGAGGGAAACTCTTTCAGAAGGGTTGGGAAAGACTTTGGCCTGCTAGGGCCCCATAAGAGTGATGGGTGACTCCTGGTATGTTTAGTGTGTGTTTAAATCTGCTTCTTGCTTTTATGTGTGGTCTCTGGAATGCTTTTACCCTAAGAATAAAGGTGCTTGGGTAGTACCTTGTAACATCCTCATGGCTCTGGGAGAGAAAGCAACACCCAGGTGCTGGCTATTAGGCAGGCTGGCTTTCTGGAGATATCACGGTGTAATACTCCAATGGGTATTTGTGCTGAGGTGCTGCAAATGCATGTGTGAACAAGAGACTTATTCAAAGCCTCACTCTGTTTATAAAAGTTTCAGTCATCCAATCCAGGAGCAGAAACACCACCCGGTGATTATTCGGAGCATCACTTTCTCTTACTTAACCTCACCAGTCAGAGCAGACACTGACTTCAAAAGAGAGTGTAGCCGAACTATGCAGACAGAAAGGGGTGACTGCTCCTGCTTGGGATGTGCTCAGGAGTCAAAAGCAGCCTTCGAACGGCCACTAGAGGGAGCAGACGCCTTGGAAATAGCTCTGGCCTGGGAGAGTTTGCGAACTTGAAAACAGTCTGCCTGACTCCATGACAGCTGAGTTCTGTTAGTGAATGTTGTGTTTAAATGCTTTGGTGCCACCCATCCCTTCAAGATGAAGGGGGAATTGTGGCTTGTTTTGGTGGCTGTACTAAAAGGATTGTCTCACAGCAAGATGTGGGTTTTTTCTTGTACACACAATAACATTAGTTTCTGTGTCACGGTGTCCCCTGGGCCTCTGAGCTAGCTTGGAGTTTTACATTTGCCGAGAGCACTTCTCCTTACCATTTTACCCCTTATTTGCTTGTTATATGTGGATTTCAATATATGTCTTTGCATCATTTGAAAAATAAAGTTTGCCACATGTACAGCTCTCTGTTCCCATGAACGAAGCACTGATCAGACCCCCAACTGAACGTAGAGATTCAAAGTGCTGGTTCAAAGTTTTTAAAATGTTTGTTGTTGTTGAGCAAATCACATTATAACGCTTAGTTGTTTTCTTTGCTTCCCTGAGAAGATGTGGCTGCCTGATTTGTTAGGACATACAGCATAGACTGCACAAGCAAAAACCACTTGAATGTCCAGGCCCCCGCAGCCCACACGTACCGTAGCGAGAGACAGTTAGGAGAGTGCTCATGTAACTGCTTCTACTGCATTGCTGAGAAATGTTTGTTAGTGGGAGCGCTGTCCTTGAAACTGACGGCTCTGGTCCAGTTGCAGCTCCCTCGGCACTGCCTGCTAGCCGTCTCTACTCAACTCGGGAGCTCAGAAGCAAACTGGCCCTCCATGGTGTCTGCATGAGGAGAACTAGGGATTTCCATTGTATTTATCTCCTCTCCAATCATTTCTGTTAGCATTTCATGCAACTAGAGGTGACTTGCTTGGGGGCGGGAGGAGGGTCTGTGCCCATTGCTGGGGAAATTTTAAAACTGTGAAAAAGGAGAGGAAAGAGGTAATAATGTTGCCGGGATCCAATGTTGCCTAGGATATCTCCAAGTGAAATGTCTCTGGACTTCTGGGGAAAGCTGCTGAACCAGTGTTAACAACAGAAGACTCAGACTGGTAATAGGATTCCTCCAGAGCCGTGAGAATCATGCAAGCGTTAGTAACAGAATCGTTAAGTGCACGTGAAATGCTGGGGGCCATTTCTTTCTCTACAATCGATTGGACTGTTGTGGTTCCCATTGCCACAGCATTTGTGCACCTCACAGTGTTCAATGGGTTTATCCTCACAACCGCCCTGTGATTCTCCCCCTTGTACAGGTGGGGAACTGAGCCACAGTCAGACTAAGAAGTAGGTTTTTGAAGGGATTTAGGCACCTGACTCCCACACCATTAAACATCTGGCCTGAAGTGACTTGTCCAAGGTCACACACATCTGTACAATGGGAATAACTTACTCTGCTAGGGATGGAAGCTGTTTCTGTAAGAGCAAAGTATTATGACCCTTCTACCCATCAGAGTTGGCAGCAACAAGGGCCGGGTTCAGTATCTAGAGGTTTCATTCCAAAAACACAATGTAAAACTGGCTCGAGCCCCCACCCAGTGACCTGGGACAAATATATACCACCCCCGCTGGGCACCTCCAAGAGGCAATACTTCCCCTCTCGCAAGCACAGAGTCTGAGGGTAGCAAAAGCCTTTTAATAACAGAGAGAAACAATGTGGCATTATGTTGGGGAAACACCACCAACAGGATTCATAACACAACCCATGAGCAAAAAACCCACCCCAAGCAAATTGGGGCGTGACCTTTCCCTTTGGTTCTTGAGTCCAGCAACCCAAAGTCACCCAAAGTCCCAAAAGTCCAACAACCCAAAAGTCTCCATCCCTGGTCAGTGCAGCACTAGAGTTTGAAAGTTTATCTGCAGAGTTTTACCTCCCAACCTGAGTGGATATGGGGGGGGGGGGTTAAGGGGCACCTTAAGTGGTCCAAAGCCAATTGCCCCAACCTCTCCATGGGGCTCCGCTCCGCTCCACCAGCCGTCCCACGAATTGCTTCACGCTGCCAGCCGCCCCCATAAGCTGCTCCAGCCATCCCGCAAACCACTCTGCTCCAAGAGCTGCTCTGCTCTGCCAGCCGTCCCACAAGCTGCTCTGCAATATATCTTCAGGCTCCCCCACTACTTAATACAACACTCAGTGATTTCAGCTCTTGTAAGTTTAGCTCTTTTGTGATTTCAGCTTGTAGTAGGAGAGCCTCAGTGCTGGTGCACCATTGGCCCAAAGTGAATTCAGCTCAGTTGCCTGTAACTAGACTTCTAATAGAATCAAAATTAGCTCTGACATTCCACAATGGAGAAAGAAGAAAGTGCAATTAGCATGTAAGACCCTCACCAGAGGGCCCATACCACCAGATATTAACACCTATCCTCAACCTCTCTGCATTCATAGAATCATAGAAGCATAGAATATAAGAGTTGGAAGGGACCCCAGAAGGTCATCTAGTCCAACCCCCTGCTCGAAGCAGGACCAATTCCCAGTTAAATCATCCCAGCCAGGGCTTTGTCAAGCCTGACCTTAAAAACCTCTAAGGAAGGAGATTCTACCACCTCCCTAGGTAACGCATTCCAGTGTTTCACCACCCTCTTAGTGAAAAAGTTTTTCCTAATATCCAATCTAAACCTCCCCCACTGCAGCTTGAGACCATTACTCCTCGTTCTGTCATCTGCTACCATTGAGAACAGTCTAGAGCCATCCTCTTTGGAACCCCCTTTCAGGTAGTTGAAAGCAGCTATCAAATCCCCCTCATTCTTCTCTTCTGCAGGCTAAACAATCCCAGCTCCCTCAGCCTCTCCTCATAAGTCATGTGTTCCAGACCCCTAATCATTTTTGTTGCCCTTCGCTGGACTCTCTCCAATTTATCCACATCCTTCTTGAAGTGTGGGGCCCAAAACTGGACACAGTACTCCAGATGAGGCCTCACCAATGTCGAATAGAGGGGAACGATCACGTCCCTCAATCTGCTCGCTATGCCCCTACTTATACATCCCAAAATGCCATTGGCCTTCTTGGCAACAAGGGCACACTGCTGACTCATATCCAGCTTCTCGTCCACTGTCACCCCTAGGTCCTTTTCCGCAGAACTGCTGCCTAGCCATTCGGTCCCTAGTCTGTAGCTGTGCATTGGGTTCTTCCGTCCTAAGTGCAGGACCCTGCACTTATCCTTATTGAACCTCATCAGATTTCTTTTGGCCCAATCCTCCAATTTGTCTAGGTCCTTCTGTATCCTATCCCTCCCCTCCAGCGTATCTACCGCTCCTCCCAGTTTAGTATCATCCGCAAATTTGCTGAGAGTGCAATCCACACCATCCTCCAGATCATTTATGAAGATATTGAACAAAACCGGCCCCAGGACCGACCCTTGGGGCACTCCACTTGATACCGGCTGCCAACTAGACATGGAGCCATTGATAACTACCCGTTGAGCCCGACAATCTAGCCAGCTTTCTACCCACCTTGTAGTGCATTCATCCAGCCCATACTTCCTTAACTTGCTGACAAGAATACTGTGGGAGACCGTGTCAAAAGCTTTGCTAAAGTCAAGAAACAATACATCCACTGCTTTCCCTTCATCCACAGAACCAGTAATCTCATCATAGAAGGCGATTAGATTAGTCAGGCATGACCTTCCCTTGGTGAATCCATGCTGGCTGTTCCTGATCACTTTCCTCTCATGCAAGTGCTTCAGGATTGATTCTTTGAGGACCTGCTCCATGATTTTTCCAGGGACTGAGGTGAGGCTGACTGGCCTGTAGTTCCCAGGATCCTCCTTCTTCCTTTTTTAAAGATTGGCACTACATTAGCCTTTTTCCAGTCATCCAGGACTTCCCCGGTTCGCCACGAGTTTTCAAAGATAATGGCCAATGGCTCTGCAATCACAGCCGCCAGTTCCTTCAGCACTCTCGGATGCAACTCGTCCGGCCCCATGGACTTGTGCACGTCCAGCTTTTCTAAATAGTCCCTGAGTTCTAAATAGTCCCTAATTCACTGAGTTTTGGAACCCATGTGCCTCGCCTAGCGAGTGCTACTTAGTTGGGGGCGAGTCCCTCCATCATAACAAAAGGCCAAGTACAGTTCCACTATCCTTGATTCACACAATCAGGAGAATAACAATTTATTCTTCCTGCCCCAATAACAGAGAAACTGGGGATCCCACAGCAGCCAAAGTGACCATTTGGGCAGCTATGGGCTCATGCGAGGCGGGGTGGGTATGCCTATGCAAATGAGATCAGCGCCTGAAGTTCTTTTCCACAACTTGCCACAACTCACCACCAGATGTCAGGGTGGAGCTCATCCTGACTCTGCTTACACGAGTAATGTTATCTATAATAAATGGCAGACTTTTTAATACAATATAATGCAGGTAGGAAGAGTTCTCACATTATGGGAGAGGATAGATTGCACTGGAGACACGTGCTCAATGTGAGAAAGCTAGGAATTTCCTCTCTGGGCTAGGAGAGTGGGTCAGCATATTAACAGACATCATCACATTAGAATAATTGCCGTGACATCAGCAAGCCCACATACATAATCCTTAATGCTGGGGAAATCACACATAGTTTCAAAATAATTAAAAATGGGATTAACCTAGATGCCAGCCATGGCCTTCCTAATTACTGATGAATAAAGCTAGCCGAAAAGGCCAAGGCGACCGAGGCAGCATCAACTGTGTTAACACTTCCAGATGATCAGTTCTGAGCAATCTGGTCATGTTAGCCATGGGTATAATCTGAGATTTTATCATAGAACCAGTTTGACTGGACTTCAGAGGGGATTAGTGGGCAAAGGCAGGGGAAAGGAGCATTCATAGAATATCAGGGTTGGAAGGGACCTCAGGAGGTCATCTAGTCCAACCCCCTGCTCAAAGCAGGGCCAATCTCCCAATTTTTGCCCCAGATCCCTAAATGGCCCCCTCAGGGATTGAACTGACAACCCTGGGTTTAGCAGGCCAATGCTCAAACCACTGAGCTATTCCTCCCCCCTAGATCTGCAACAGAGCATGCAAAGGAAGCACAGCTTTTGCAGGACATCCAATCAATGGAAGGAACAATTTCTACCCAGGACTCAAGATGCACCAGGCATTAGCCATTGCCTCGCCATCTCCCTGAGTTGCTATAACTAGGGGCTGTATGGAGAGTCAGCGGGGGGTAAAACGAGACCGAAGAATGGCGTGGTTTTAGTGCCGGAGCCTACAGCGGGAGGGGAAATTGCTCAGCATGTCACAGGATCGGGCCCTTTGCCACTACCGGGCTTGGAGGTCAAATGTAGAATGAGCATTTGTTAAGCTCATGCAAGCATCTTTAGAGCCCTGCTACTGTTTACTCCTCTTCTGCTGCTGTCATTATTGCTTTGATGTCTTCCTCCTCCACTGTCTCCACCTCTCCCACACTGGCACCAAAGGGGGTTTTTGAGGCTAATGCAGTGCGTGTAATGCTGCACCGGGAAGCACTCCTGGAAACGAAACCATGCATGGCAACCCACTGACAAGCCTGTCTGCTAGAGAAGTGTGAGCCGCAGGTTCTTGCTTCGCAGGGAACAGCCTGCCAGCCCATGTTTCTGAGAGCAGCAGAGCTGGTGGCGTGGGGTGAGGCAGAGAAGGGGCTGGTCGCTGCTCCCTGAGTCTGGGGTCTGGGTTGGTTGGTTTGTTTGTTTAGCAGCAGCCCTGGCCCTAACCTATTTTCGAGCAGCCTCAGTCTCATAGCACCCCCTAGAGGCCAGCCAGAGTAGCCGGCGCACAGTTGCAGTCTGATCGCAACACTCCCTCGACACCAGGCGTTTCATGGGGTCAGTGGTACAGCAGCGGGCCATGCCACCGACTGGGGAATCCTCCGTTTGGGATGCGTGTCCTGCTTCCGGATGGAGTGGTGCAAATAATTCATTTTGGGGGAGAAACTCCATCCCTGTATTCTCAGCGGGTGGGCGCGAGCGTGGGACATCACTGGGTGAGATACTTTGAAGACGTGACTGCCAAGAACGCTGGTCGCATTTTGATTCTGTTTCAAAATTAGCAGCAGCGGTAAACATTTCTATTGCAGCAGAGCTCAACGGCCTGAAGGGGGCTTGGGTGCCGCCTTGTGCCGGGTGCAGTACAAACGTATTGTTACCGTTCATCCTGGCAGGAGGAATTGTCACACGTTTGCCTGCTCGTGGCAGCAGAGTGATGAACCGTACAACTGCTTCAACGCATAGTCGTGCGGCGTTCCGAGGGCGACTCCACCCCTCCAGAGCAGCCGTTCTCAGGCTACTGCAGAGCAGAGCCCTCTCCATCACCACAGCTGTCTGTCACACCCACGGCCTGAGCTGGGGCCCTCGCCAGGACTGGGGCAGGCAGAGACGATTGCGCCTTTCAGAAGCATTCTGCTGCGCTGTGCTAAGCCACAGAGCATTTCAGCGGGCGCGGGGCAGAGTCCTGGTACTGGGGCTCCGTGAAAGCGATGGTGAGTATTTTTTTCAGGAGACTTATTGCAAAAACCACCAAACCCCCCAGTCTGCCTTGGGTGCTTTAAATTGGCCCCCTTCCTTCCCCCTCCCCCCAGATTTGCTTTTCTGCAATGTATGCTTGTAGGGGCATCGAAAACAGCCATGTGGGCTGGAGTGGCAGCCCAGTTTCGGAGCTCTCCCATAAAGGTGTGCTCAGCCCTGCCTGCCATTGTCATTCTCCAGGAGGCATGCTGTTGATTTACAGTTCTGCACCACAGCTACAAAGGGGCCCTGGCCCAAATGGCAGAGGAGAGGCCTCGGAGGAGTGTGATAATGGAAGATTTATGTTTCCTCCATATATTTTTGAGACGTGGTATTAATGTCCAGTCGGTTGGAATCCCGACTGCACCCCCATGTCAGGAAGGTCGGACACCAGGTGAACTGTATATAGGTGTCTCCTTGTGTATCCTGCAATAACCTAAGGAACTAATAGTATCTCCTTAGCATTGATTGCTCTCACAGGGTCAGGAGAAGAAAATGGACAGCTCCTAAGAGAGGTTTGTCTAACCTGTTCATTAAAAACCTCCAAAGATGGAGAGTCCACAATTTTACAAGGTGATTGTCCCAATGTTTAACAACTCTGACAGTTAGGAAGTTTTTCCTAATGTCCGACCTAAATCTCCCTTACTGCAACTTAAGCTCATTGCTTCTTGTCCTATCTTCAGTGGGTAACGAGAACAATTTATCGCCCTCCTCTTTTTAACAACCTTTTAGGTACTTGAAGACTGTTATCATGTCCCCCCTCAGTCAGCTCTTCTCCAAACTAAGCAAACCCAATTTTTTCAATCATTCCGTATCGGTTATGTTTTCTAGACCTTTGATCATTTTTGTTGCTCTCCTTTGGACTTTCTCCAATTTGTCCACATCTTTCCCTAAGTCTGGTGTCCAGAACTGAACACAGTACTTCAGCTGAGGAGCTATCAGTGCTGAGTAGAGTGGAAGAATTATTTCTTGTGTCTTGCTTACAACCTTCCTGCTAATACAGCCCAGAATGATATTCACTTTTTTTGCAACAATATTACACTGTTGAGCCATATTTATCTTGTTCTCCGCTATAACCCTCAAAACCTTTTCTGCAGTACTTCTTCCTAGGCAGTCACTTCCCATGTTGTATTTGTGCAATTGATTATTCCTTCGGAAGTGGAGTACTTTGCATTTGTCCTTATTGAATTTCATCCTGCAAAATGCAGACCGTTTCTCCAGTTTGTCAACATCATTTTGAATTCTAATCCTGTCCTCCAAAGCACTTGCAACCCCTCCCAGCTTGGTATGGTCTGCAAGCTTTATAAGTGTACTCTCTCTCTCTGCCATTATCTAAATCATTTATGAAGATATTGAACAGAACCAGGCCCAGGACAGATCTTTGTGTGACCTCACCCAAGGTGCCCTCCCAGCTTGACTGTGAACCACTGATAACTACTCAGAGTACAATTTTCCAGCCAGTTGTGCACCCACCTTACAATAGGACCATCTAGGCTATATTTCCCTATATATCCTCAGAGACAATCGTTTTTATTACAAAGCTTTTAATTAGGGCTGGAGAGAGCTCTAGGAATGTGGTGTGTATATATATATATTTTTTTAAAAGCAACAATAAACCAATCGTTCTGAAATCTGTAATTATGAATATTCCCTGTGGTGCAGGGGTGAGAGCAAGCATTGCTCTGCCTGTTATTAAAACTCCTTGTTTTCTAATTATTTTCTGATTTCGCAGTTGTTCATCTGAAGTGCCATGTCCTGTGTTAGCTCCCTGGGGGATAACCTTCCATTACCGTTCTCTTCCATAGTCAGCTTCAATACACAGAGTTAGCTGCCCAGGCTCCTTTACCGACGACATTTAGTTTCACTTTTCATGGGGATGTAAACAGGGCCAGAACCAGGGATTTGCAGAGTTGAAAACACGAGTCTCTACAGCTTGAGCTATAGGGCCAAGCTCTCCAACAGAGCTGGGACAGACCCGTATCCTCTGTAGACCACATACACACAAGGGGAAGTGGCCGCTTCCCCAGGGCCCAGCCCCAGTCTCCACCTCCCTGCCACCAGCGCTCCACTCCACCACAGCCGACTCCAGCCGGTGCCCGGATGTGTGACACTCACAAGGGCAGAGCTGGAGTCAGTGGGAGCCAGCCTGCACCATCTAGTCCCTAACCGGGATTGTTCCCCTCCACTGTATTTAACCTTCTTGCCATCACCTTAACGACCCTGGACAATCCAGCCTCTGGCGCACCATTCCCTTCAATCCACCAAGCCTTTACGCTCAGCACCATGGGCAGCAGATGAAGCTTCCCCTGAGGGAGGCTAGCTCCCTGTCCCACCTCTTCCACCCTCACTCCACCCCGATCCCTCTCTCTGCCCCACTTCCCGCAGGGACAGGGAGGAGAGGAGGGACTCACCGGGCAGAAGCTGCAGCAGGCGGTGGTAGTGGTGGCCTCGGGGAAGGGGCGGAGCAGGGACCGGAAGAGGCGAGGCCACCATGGCCCAGGTGTCGGGTGGCAGGTCGGCCTATTATACCCACTGCCCATGCTTGGCACCCTCCTCCCACTCATCTCCATGAAAACCCCCCCACCGAAATGTCTGCTCCTGCCCCACTGTGGGTCCAACTCTCTGTGCCTTCAAATCCCACCCCTAGACACACACCACTTCCAGGGGGCTGGGAATACGAAGGCTCATCAGTAACCAGAATCGGGTTTCAACTGGCAGCTAACAGGCCTGCTGACTATCTTGGCATCCTGTGGAACATCTGCCGCCCTCCGTCCCGTACAGGACAGGGAGAAGTCAAAATGGCTGCTGCTGATCCCCGTGAGCGTAATGCTGTGACAAAACCCCGGGATTCCAGGGTTAAGAGCTAGACTTGGGAGCTGTTCGTAGGGCATAATAACAGTTTTACTGACCCTACTAATTTCTCAGTGAGGCTACTTATTCCCAATGCCAATAGGGGGCACTCTCTATATTAGCTGTCTATGTACACCCACGCACACACCGGTATATCTCTTTTATATATCATTCCCATATAGGGTTGCCAATTTTGGTTGGACGTATTCCTGGAGGTTTCATCCCATGGCAATCTTTAATTAAAGATTCATCTTTAATTCCTGGAAACTCCAGGATAATCCAGGAGGGAAGGAGTGGTAACAACGTCTGGTGCAAAACTTAGAATGCACTAGGAAAAAACTAAGCCGAAAAGTTCAGTGATTTCTCAGTCCTGAAAAAAATGGCCCTGTCCTCATAATTTTGTCTGCCAAGAAAAATTTTGCAGGGAGAAGCTCCAAGGATGCAAAAGAGGCTCTCTCCAGTTCCTACAGCCTCTCTGCTTAATGGGAGGGGTCTGATGGAGAAATTACCCCAACTTTTTGTAGTAAACCTAGTTTTAGTTAGCAATGTCCCCGGCTTTGCAGTTTGCTGTTCCATTGCCTGAAATATTTTGTACGCTCTGGACCAGATGTCAGTAAGTGAGGCTATTTAAAGGGCATTATTCATTGAATTGGAGAGTTTTTACATGATTAAATACAGCCTGTCTCCACCACCTACAGGCTGGGGCTTCCCCAAGGGGCCTGCACAATGTAGGCACCCAGTCCTTGACCAACAGGTCAGGCTGATTAGTATGCAGCACGCATCAATATTCCTTAACAATATGTTAATGTCTTAAACTGGACAGGGTTTTTTTTTAACTAGAGTTTGCTGTTAACCTAGGAGCCAAGTGAAATTAATTTGATTAAACAGCCTCTTATTACAAACCCATGCTGCAAATGAAAAGCCGTTATCCCAGATTATAGTGCTCAAGCACTCATATACGGTACAGCTTTGATCACCTTGCTCTCTGAAAGGGTGGTGATCCTCCCAGCTTAGCCTGGAGTATGCACTGTACTCACTCTCTAGCTGCCTAGAGAATAGCTTGCAGAGATTTGCATTTTCTTTGTAGATGCTTGGTGTTTTGGATCTTGCACTTTTAATCCTGCCTACACCATGGGATCGTCATGGTGGTTTTCCTCTAAGTGACTATGTAACTTTGGACATGTCTACACTTGCCATTTAAAGCGGAAAAAGTCCCTTTTTTGCACAAAAACTGTGGGAGCCTCTATACTTGCCAATGACTTTTTGCTGTGAAACTCAGAAGTTTCACCACAAAAAGAAAACCACCTCCACGAGAGGTGTACAGCTCTTACCGGTGATGCTTTTGCGGTGATGTGCAAGTGAAGACTCGCTCTTCCTGTTTACAGAGCTTTCAGCTTCCTGAGGATCTCCCACAGTGCCAATTGACCTCTCTGGCCAGCAGCGCTGCAGCTCTGACTCCAGGTAAACAGACATCCACCCCTCCCCCTGTAAAGCCCCGGGAACTTTGAAACTCCCCTTCCCGTTTTCTTGGCAAGTGCTCACTTATCTGGCCAGTGAGGATGCCTGCCCCATGGAGAAAACGATCCCCTGCTTGGAGCAATGCTGAGCTACTGATGCTGATCAGTGTTTGGGGAGAGGAGGCTGTGCAGGGACCCAGGATGCCCCGCGATCACACCCCCTTCCCACAAGACCTGTCGTCCAAATGGAGAGCGCTGCACAGTGGGATAGCTGCCCTCAGTGCGCTGCTCTCATCCGCGACGAAAGTGCTGCAAATGTGAACACTCTCTGACGCCTGTGGAAGCAAGTGAGTACACAAACCAGCGCTTTACTTTCATCGGTTCACTGTCATCGGTGAAACTGACAGTGCAAAAACTCTGCAAGTGTAAACATAGCCTTCTGTTTCGGTGTGGCAACTCGTTGTAATTGGAGTGTTCAGTGCTCTCGTGGAATTAGACGTGTGTTATGTGGAGACTAGGTTTAGGCCCTGAGCCTGTATCTCATGTCCACAGACTAGTCTCAGCACAAAGTTACTTTCACACATCTTTGCAAGATGGAGTCTCTCAAGACAGGCCTACACTGCATCCACCTTTCACAGAATAACAGCGCCAGAGCAACTGGGGATGTGAGGGGGAGAGGTGATATAACCCACTTCATCAGATGCATGGAGTGGAAAATACAGTAAGCAGGTATTTCATGTGCTGTATATTTATACCTGCTTACTGTATTTTCCACTCCATGCATCTGATGAAGTGGATTATATCCCACGAAAGCTTATGTCCAAATAAATTTATAGTCTCTAAGGTGCCACAAGGACTCCTCGTTGTTTTTACATGTACAATGAAATCTGCTAGTTTGATTTTAAATCACAATAGGAAAAAGTTTCCGGAGATATTGTGATTGCACATTACAACCACTAGATGCCAGTCATGCCAAGTATAATAAGTGAAAGCTTTGCTTTTGCAGCACATGCCCAGCATACTTAGCATTGGGCGTGCCAGTGGTGTGGTACACCAGTACATGACACATGGATATA